ATCCTCAAATTTTAATTCGCGGGCGCTCAAAAACATGATGGACCCACGAACCCGGAAAGGGATATAGACATGTGCAGCATGGTCACGTTTTCACGATATCCAACTGGGCGACACCTCACGAAACATCCCACGAGACACCCCGCGAAACATCCCAGGAGACACCTCACGAAACAACCCACGAGACACCTCACGAAACATTCCACGAGACACCCCGTGAAACATTCCACGAGACACCCCACGAACAGGCAACCACTCAACCAGACACCCCACGAAACATTCCACGGGGGTGCGACTGGGTGTGGTCGTGCTGGGGTGTGGTCGTGCTGGAGTATGGTCGTGTTGGGGTGTGGTCGTGCTGGGGTGTGGTCGTGCTGGGGTGTGGTCTTGCTGGGGTGGGGTCGTGCTGGGGTGGGGTCCGGCTGGGGTGTGGTCGTGCTGGGGTGTGGTCGTGCTGGGGTCTGGTCGTGCTGGGGTGGGGTCGTTGTTGGGTGGGTCGGCTGGGGTGGGTCGTTCTGGGGTGGTTTGTCGTGGGGGGTGGGTCGTGTGCTGGGGGGGGCGTGGGGTCGTGCTGGGTCGGGGTCGTGCTGGAGTGTGGTCGTGCTGGGGTGTGGTCGTGTTGGGGTGTGGTCGTGCTGGGGCGTGGTCGTGCTGGGGTGGGGTCGTGCTGGAGTGGGGTCGTGCTGGGGTGTGGTCGTGCTGGGGTGGTCCGAACCCTGTGACTTATCGATCGGGTCGTGCTGGGGTGTGGTCGTGCTGGTGCTGGGGGGTGGTCGTGCTGGGGTGTGGTCGTGCTGGGGTCCTGCTGGGGTGTGGTCGTGCTGGGGTGTCGTGCTAGGGGGTAGAAAAAACAAATTCTGAAAAACAAGCGTTTCGCTCGAGACATCCTCGACAAATTCTGAAAAACAAGCGTTTCGCTCGAGACATCCTCAAATTTTAATTCGCCGGCCTCAAAAACAAGCGTTTCGCTCGAGACATCCTCAAATTTTAATCGCGGGCTAGTTATTTATAGGAAAAATTCGCCGGCCTCCTTCGACCTCTGTTATTCTCAGGGAAAAAATTCGCCGGCGCATCCTTCAAGAGGCCACGGGGGACAGGTTTACCTACTAAAAGAGAAACCTGGCTTACCATTTCCGGAACAAGCGTTTCGCTCGAGGACATTCCTCAAATTTTTAATTCGCGGGCTGTTATTTATCAGGGAAAAATTCGCCGGCCTCCTTCGACCTCGTTATTTATCAGGGAAAAAATTCGCCGGCCTCCTTCAAGCAGGCACCGGGGGACAGGTTTACCTACTAAAAGAGAACCCTGGGCTTAAGCCCTTTCCGGGAAAAAGACCACCTGCGGCTCTGGGGCCCTACTGCTAACCGGGTCCCCTTACCTGGGGTCCTGGCTATACTCGACGTTTCCTTGGCCTTAATTCTGGCGACCACAGCTGGAGACGCCCGGGGAGGCATGGACGCGAGCGGTCCCAGGCGGCAGGCTCGGGCCGGACGAATTGGTGGTAGTCTTAAGTTGGGCATGTCCCCCTACAGGGGAATTTTGGACGACAAATAAAACATACCCCCTAAAAGTACTCCAGAATTGATACAAATAGTCAGAACATCGTCCCCCGACTATTTTTTGACTGTTTCTGGATATTCCTCCTGTAGAAGGTTGTGCTGCTCCCATCGTGCTTAACGACCACATCCCAGAAATAATTTCGAGCACCCAGAAAAGTGTCGAAACAGTGTCGAACGAGTGTCGCCTCCTGGGGCCCGACACGTGAGAATCCTCCAGATTCGGTGCTCTCTTGGTGCTCGAAATCATTTCCTGGCTAAAAGTGGGTTGGAACATCATGTTAGAGGGACGCGCCCGACTTAATGGTAATCAAGGGGGGGGGCCCAGCGAGTCAGCTCACGCAGATCATTGATTCCCCCGGCGCTGGGGGGGCGCTGCTGCATCGAGGAGGGCGCCCGGCGGCGGGGCGGAAGCAGCTGCCTGCAGCAGATTTCGTGTCCGCTCCTTTCTCTCAGTGATGGGGCCCTGGGGCACACAGACAAATGGACACAAGTCACAGGACTCCCTATCTGTTCCTGCAGTTTCTGGGTTCCCGCCTTCCCCCCACCCCCCCCACTTCCCACCTTCCCCCACCTTTTCCGGGGAGTCGAAGATGCATTGTCTGTGTGTGCTTTTCCCCTCCTGAGGTTGAGCCTCCCCGCAGTCGTCCACCCAGCGGACAAGGGGCGGGGCGGAGGGGGGGGTCCCCCGAAACGGTGCGGCGGCAGACCGTGCGGGGACCTCGGGGGCCCGCAGAGGCCTCGCCGCACGGGGCGGCCGCACGCACGGCCTTGGAACCTCGGAGGCCCCCGTCGCCGGAGGCTGTCCTCGCAGAGCGGCCCGAGGAGGAGGAGGAGGAGGAGGAGGAGGAGGAGGAGGAGGAGGAGCGTCGCTGCACCGTGTGGTCACCGCACGGCTTGGGGCCCCAGAGAGGAGCGGGGGGGGGGGGAATGCAGGGTGCCTGTGGCTGCGGCGTGGCTGGGCACCGTGGGGAGGCCACCGCTCACTGCTTCACCTGGCGCACGGTGTGGCCTCGTGGCACGGGCATGGCGTCGGAAACCAGACGTCCCGAGCTCGATGCTCGGCGCGGCCTGCAACAAATCGTTTGCCGGGCCGCTTGCGAATGCTGCCCCCGCAAATCCACTCGGAGCTGGACTGTCCAACCCTTCCCCAACGGGGGCTCACTCGGTCGCAGAAACTGTTTGATGGCTTCTTCCTTGGAGCTAGTTCTTCATCCCGCATCGTTTCTGCTAGTTGTGGGGCCCGAAGACGACCCCCCAAAGCTGAAACAACCATCGAAAGGAGAGACGTAAACGGAAAAGTCATACCGCCAAAGATATGGGGAGATGTTGTAACCCCCGCGAGCCCCGAAGGAAATGAGGTGCAGGCGATCCTCCTCTTCCTCCTCCTTCTCCTCCTCCTCCTCTTCCTGCTCCTCCTTTTCCTCCCCATCCTCCTCCTCATCGTCCTCATCTTCACTGTCGTCATCATCATCATGTTCCTGCCGCGTGGCCACGGGGAGGACAAAAGGGGACTGCCTCGGGCCACCACCGAAGCTGCAACCGCGCCGCGGGGACAACTGCCTTTGCCTCGCCCAGACTGAGCGGGAGAGGCGCCGTGCATCATCACCCTGTTCCCCCGAAGGGCAAAGATAAGAGGGAACAGGCTCAGGGGGAATCATCGACCTGTACTCTACAGTACATCACCGATCTATGGGCGATAGGTCCCCGATCGCGAGATCGCACGTTCCTTGGGGGGGGGAATGGACTGTCAGGTCCCCGTCGCGATGAATGGGCGGTTGGGGGTATACGCGTTCCCCCTGAGCCTGTCCCCGCCTAGCGTTGCCCCCGATCCTTCCCCCCTTCCTCCGCTGACGCTCGCGTGGGCGGTGCCGAAAAGGGAAACGAAGAGGAGCGGGGAGAGGGCGAGGAGGCGAAAGAACCATAATTGCGGGGGTTGGATGGCGGCAGTAAGAGAACATGAAAGATGCCGAACTTTACCTTAGCAGATGCGTCCCCGCCGGCGCTTCCAGCCAAATGGCAACCAGGCATCCTATTCGAGTCGGGATTGCGCGGGCGATCGAACAGCTCTGGCGGAGCAAAGGAGCCGAGAAAGAGGAAATCCAAAACTGCCCATCCCCCGTGCATCTTTCCAATCCGTATAGGGTACCAAACTGCCACCCAAAGACGCCACACGGTAGCTCGCCTAAGTAGGTGAGAAGCATGCTGCCATGCGTCGAGTCTGTAAGTGAAGGGCCGTGCGTGGCGGTCAGGACAACCGAAAGACGAGCGAAACTCGACGCGTGGATGACACACGGCCCGTGAAACCGGTAGAGTAATGATGCGACAACATCGTGGACTGGCAGGTCGGTGCGGGGAACATGATGGACCCACGAACCCGGAAAGGGATATAGACATGTGGAGCATGGGCACGTTTTCACGATACCCAACGGGGCAACACCTCACGAAACATCCCACGAGACAACTCACGAAACATCCCACGAGACACCTCACGAAACATTCCGCGAGACACCTCACGAAACATTCCAGGAGACACCCCGCGAAACATTCCACGAGACACCCCACGAAACATTCCACGACGACAGGCAACCACTCAACAAGGCGGTGTGGTCGTGCTGGGGAGTGGTCGTGCTGGGGTGTGGTCGTGCTGGGGGGTGGTCGTGCTGGGGCGTGGTCGTGCTGGGGGGGTGGTCGTGCTGGGGGTGGTTGTGCTGGGGCGTGGTCGTGCTGGGGCGTGGTCGTGCTGGGGCGTGGTCGTGCTGGGGTGTGGTCGTGCTGTGGTGAGGTCGTGCTGGGGTGTGGTCGTGCTGGGGTGTGGTCTTGCTAGGGTGTGGTCGTGCTGGGGTGGGGTCGTGCTGGGGTGTGGTCGTGCTGGGGTGTGGTCGGTGGAGGGGTTGTCGTGATGGGGCGTGTCGTGCTGGGGCGTGGTCGTGCTGGGGTGTGTCGTGCTGTGGTTGAGGCGTCGCTGGGGGTGGGCGCAGTGTGGGGGTGGTCGTGCTGGGGCGTGGTCGTGCTGGGGTGTGGTCGTGCTGTGGTGAGGTCGTGCTGGGGTGTGGTCGTGCTGGGGTGTGGTGAAGTCGGGATTTCAAAAACAAGCGTTTCGCTCGAGACATCCTCAAATTTTAATTCGCCGGCCTCAAAAACAAGCGTTTCGCTCAAGACATCCTCAAATTTTTATTCGCCGGCTCGTTATTTATCATGGAAAAAATTCGCCGGCAATTCGCCGGCTCGTTATTTATCAGGGAAAAAATTCGCCGGCAATTCGCCGGCTCGTTATTTATCAGGGAAAAAATTCGCCGGCCTCCTTCAAGCAGGCACCGGGGGACAGGTTTACCTACTAAAAGAGAACCCTGGGCCTACGCCCTTTCCGGGAAAAAGGATGGAGGTTTTCCCTCCAGGGGGCGCGGCAGACGTTGTCCTGCGCCCCGCCTCGCCTCGCCGCTCAGCTCAGTCCATGTCTTCCCCTCCGTCGTCGCCGTAGATGAGCGTGGGCATGCCATGCTTCGTCATGACGTGGCCTGGGCGGCTTGAGCGGGTGGCGGAGCCGGCGGGGGTGATGTGAGCGGAGGGCTCCTCCGTGGCGGGTTCTTCCGCGGTGGGATCCTCCGCGGCGTCCTGGGTGGGCGCGATGTCCTCCTCGTTGGCGGCGTCGGATTTGTGGCCGCTCTTATCACTGGCGTCGGCAGCGTCGGCGGTCTTGTCCAGCTTCGCCCAGAGCCTGCCGCCCGCTTCACGCCCCGCGCCTTCTTGGACTTGAGGCCGCCGCGGTGCGTTTCCTTGGGCTTCTGCGAAGCCGCAGACTCGCCCGCGGAGGCCTCCGCCTCCGCCGTCCTCTTCGGCTTGCCCCCGCCGCCCCAGACGTCCTTGCCGCCCTTCGCGTGCTGCTGGGCGCCCTACGCCTGGCCACGGCTGCCGCCGGGCGCTCGGGCTCCTCTGTGGCAAGCAAGCACGGGTGCACGGCTAGAGCCTGGAAGCCAGGCTCTGGTGTGCCGTGCCCGGGCGGCGGCCCCACGGGGCGAGGCAGCTTGCCCACCGGCTCTCGCCTGGACGCCCTGCTCTTCGGCTCGGGTGAGCGAGAGCGGCGCTGCGGGCGATGCTCGGCAGCCTGGGTGTCCAGGGCGAGCATCGGGTCCGATTGCGTGCATGGCCAGGTTGACCCGGCCACGAGCCGCCAATGGCGGCGGCGCGCGACCCGGCACTCCCTGTCGCTGGTGCCGGTCCAGTGCATCGCCAGGCGCTGTGCCACCAGCACCACTGGCGGTGGCACCGGCTTGCCTTCCACCGTGGGCGCCGCGTCGGGTTGGGGTCGACGCGGAACTTGTCGCCCTGCACCCCCACCTCGTGCCCGAGTGCGAATTTTCCTCGCATGACATCACTGCCACATGAAGTTAATAAATCCTCTGGTTTGTGTTCGTCGCCAAAGAGCTGAAAGCGTGTGAGACATGACAAAAGATACACCTTACTTGAATGTGTAACTGCGCGTTGTCCTGTACCGGACCTTTCCAGGCGAGAGATGCAGGAAACCCAACGGTGCATCTCGAGGCTCAGGCAGCCGTCCGAGAACATCATCAGCCTGACGAAGTCCTCGGGAAGCGGCCTCTGGCCTGGACACGTGGTGCACGGCTCGCAAACAGCCATCGGCGAGGGCTGCGTTCTGCAACCCGCTGGCCGTGAGCGTCCTTGCCGCGGCTTCCTCCACCATGTCCTCCGCCCTCTTCCAGTCCTTTTCGGGGCGCACGACCGGGCCGTGTGGATGACCGAAACCTACTGTGTTTCCCGTAGGTAGAAGTAGGAAAGGGAGAAGGTCGCGAATCCTTTTTCCCGTGCGCTGCAGAAGAGGGAGCGCGGTGCTCAGTACCAAGACCTGAGCCGAGACGTCGGCGGTAGATGACGATACACTGGTGATGTGATCGGACTTCGCACACAGGCCGTCGCCCATCTGTGGCACTGGTGCCCGCGACTTGGGCGTCGGCTGCAGGCGGGGTCGTGCCGGCGACGGCGATGGGCGAAGGGCGCCGCCACGTCCGCGCGCGGCGGCGGCGGGGCTGCGCGAGCCGGGAAGTGCGGCGGTGGCGGCGCGCAGTGGGAGAGACCTGTCGGCCTCGCGGCGGCGGCGGCGGAGCGCGTCGGCGAGGGTGGGCTCTCCTGTGTCCGTCGTGGCGGCGGCGGTGGAACGCGATGCTTGGGCCTAAGTCGGGCGCGTCCTTCTGCAAGCGGATATTGGAAGAAACACAGAACCGCCACCAGTTTTTTTGTTGCAAGCCATTCTTGAGCATTCCTCCTGTAGGAGGGACATGCCCGACGAAAGCTCAGGCTCGGCGGCCCGAGGAGGAGGCATCATGGGCGGCATCCCTGGTGGCCGAAGCACGATGCCAACCTTGACGGGGCAGGCAGCCTTGACGGGAGCGCCCTTGACAGGCGCTCGACCGCTGCACCGTGGAGGCGCCCACTCGAGGCCCCAAGAGGCCTCCAAACTGCCTCCAAGAGGCTACCGAGAGGCCTCCCACGAGATCCCAACGAACATCCAATAGTCTTCATACCCACAACCCAGGCACGGTGGCAGCATGGGCCGAAGGCCAGTATCCGCCGCCCCCTGTTGATTCATCAGAGGGGTGCCTTGCGTGCTGGACCCTCTAGGTTGTGGTCTTGGTTCTTTTTCCAAAAGAACTCCCCCTGGGGCTCCGGCACGTCCCGCCGGCCACCCGGAAGGCGCTCAATTCCCCAACCTCGCCTGCTTTTTCGCTCAAGATGGCCGAAGATGGCCTCCAAGATGCCTCCAAGGCGGCCAAGATGGCCTCCAAGGCGGCCAAGATGGCCCCAAGATGCCTCCAAGACGGCCCAAGATGCACCCAAGACCGCCTCAGATGGCCTCAAGATAGCCCAAAACGGCCCAAGAGGCTCCCAAGAGGCCTCCAAGATGGCCCAAGCCACCCCCAAGAGGCCTCCAAGACGGGCCAAAGAGGCCTCCAAGAGGTCCTCCAGGAAGGCCCGAAGAGGCCAAAATCATTGGTTTTCCGTAGGTTTTGGGAGGATTGTGGCATTTGCGCATTTTCGGCTTTCCGACGGCCCAAGACGGCCCAAGAGGCCCCCAAAGTCGTCCCAAGATCGCCGAAGAGGCCTCCAAGATGGCCCCATGACGGCCCAAGAGGTCCCCAAGACGGCCCAAGAGGCCTCGAAGACGCCCAAGATGGCCTCCAAGACGGCCAAGATGGCCCAAGATGGCCTCCAAGATGCCCCCAAGACGGCCAGGATGGCCTCCAAGACGGCTAAGATGGCCCCAAGATGCCTCCAAGACGGCCCAAGATGCACCCAAGACGGCCTTAGATGGGCCCAAGAGCCCCCAGGAGGCCTCCAAGACGTGCAAACGAGGCCTCCAAGAAGTCCTCCAGGAAGGCCCGAAGAGGCCAAAATCATTGATTTCCCTTAGGTTTTTTGAGGATTTTTGCATTTGCGCATTTTCGGCATCCCGACGGACCAAGACGGCCCAAGAGGCCCCCAAGGTCGCCTCAGAGGTCTCCAAAATGGCCCCGTGACGGCCCAAGAGGCCCGCCCCAAGAGGGCCCCAATACGGCCCAAGAGGCCTCGAAGACGCCCTCGATGGCCTCGAAGACGGCCAAGATGGCCCAAGATGGCATCCAAGATGTCTCGAAGAAGGCAAAGATGGCCTCCAAGACGGCCAAGATGGCCCCAAGATGCCACTAAGACGGCTCTATATGCACCGAAGACGGCCTTAGATGGCCTCAAGCTGGCCCAAGAAGGCCCAAGAGGCTTCGAAGAGGCCTCCCAGACGGCCCAAGAGGCCTCCAAGAGGTCCTCCAGGAGGGCCCGAAGAGGCCAACATCATTGATTTTCCATAGGTTTTCGAAGGATTTTGGAATTTGCTTCTTCTCGGCATTCCGACGGCTCAAGACGGCCCAAGAGGCCCCCAAGATCGCCCAAGAGGCCCCCAAGAGGGCCCCATGACGGCTCAAGTGGCCTCCAAGATGGCCCCAAGAGGCCTCCAACACGCCCTAGATGGCCTCCAAGACGCCCAAGATGGCCTCCAAGACGGCCCCGAAGCGCCCCAAGAGGGCCCCCCGTTGGCCCAGAAAGGCCCCCTAAGACGGCTCCCGACGGCGTCAGACGTGCCAGGAACCCACCAAGATGGCCGAAGTTAGCTCGAAGCTGGCCCAGGACTGCCCAAGAGGCCCCCAAGAGGGCCTCCAGGAAGGCCAGAAAAAGGCCAAAAACCTTAAGTTTCTTAAGGTTTTCGACGGATTTTGACATTTCCTTCTTTTCGGCCTGCCGACGGCCCGAGACGGCCCAAGAGCCCCCAAAGATCGCCGAATGATCGCCCAAGAGGCCTCCAAGACGGCCAAGATGACCTTCAAGATGCCCACGTGTTCCCCGAAGGCTTTCCAAACCGATTCGGGGAACACATGGTCCCATAGCTTGGCAGGTCTGGCCTCAACGTTCGGCCACATAGGCGCTTCCAAAAAGGCAGGGGGCGGCGGTGACTCGCCGTATGCGTCTTCGATACATCCGCTGCCCCCTATCGATTCATCGCAGGGGTGCCTGGCGTGCCGAACCCTATCGGTTTTGGTTTTGGTTCTTCTTCCAACTCCCCCTGGGGCTTCGGCCCGTTCCGCCGGGGTCCCGGAAGGCTGCATAAACCACCCCAGCGTCCACACAAAATCCTCCAAGACGGCTCAAGATGGCCTCCACGATGGCCATGTTGGCCCAAAATGGCCTCCAAGATGGTCCAAGATGGCCTCCAAGTCCGCCCAAGATGGTCCAAGACGGCCTCCAAGACGGCCTAAGAGAGCCCACGACGGCCCAAGACGGCCGCAGAGGCCCCCGAGAGGCCTCCAAGACGGCCCCAAAGGCCTCCAAGAGGTCCTCCAGGAGAGCCCAAAGAGGCCAAAATCATTGGTTTTCCGTAGGTTTTCGAAGGACTTTGGCATTCGCTTCTTCTCGGCTTTCCGACGACCCAAGACGGCCCAAGAGGCCCCCAAGGTCGCCCCCACAGCGCCTAAGAGGCCTGCAAGATTGCCTCAGGACTGCCCAAGAGGCCCCCAAGACGGCCCCGAGAGGGCACAACGACGACCCAAGAGGCCTCCAATACGCCCAAGATGGCCTCTAAGGCGGCCCTGGAGCACCCCAAGAGGGCCCCCCAAGTCGGCCCAGAAAGGCCCCCCCAACGGCTTACGACGGCGTCAGATGGGCCAAGACGGAACTAAGATAGCCGAAGTTGGCTCGAAGCTGGCCCAAGACGGCCCAAGAGGCCTCCAAGAGGGCCTCCAGGAAGGGCAGAAAAAGGCAAAAAACATTGATTCCCCTTAGATTTTTGAATATTTTCGGCCTTCCGACAGCCCGAGACGGCCCAAGAGCCCCCAAAGATTGCCCAAGAGGCCTCCAAGATGGCCCCAGAACGGCCCAAGAGGCCCCCAAGACGGCCCCAAGAGACCCCCAAGACGGCCCAGGAGGCCTCCAAGACGCTCAAGATGGCCTCCAAGACGGCCTAAGATCCCTCCAAGACCTCCAAGAAGGCCCGAAAGGGTCAAAATGGCCTCCCGACGGCCAAGATGAGCTTCAAGATGCCCACGTGTTCCCCGAAGGCTTTCCAAACCGATTCGGGGAACACATGGTCCGATAGCTTGGCAGGTCTGGCCTCAACGTTCGGCCACATAGGCGCTTCCAAAAAGGCAGGGGGCGGCGGTGACTCGCCGTAGGCGTCTTCGATTCATATTTAATAAATGTAATTCCTCCATATGGGAGTTCTCTGTGGAACCTCCCCCCCCTCCTCTCCTCCTCACCCTCCTCCTCACCCTCCCCTCCCCTCCCCTCCCTTCCCCCCCCCCCCTCCTCTCGACACATCTCGACACAGCATGAAGGCGGATGAGGGAGGATGGAGGAAGGGAGGGAGGGAGGAAGAGGATGAGGATGAGGATGAGGACGAGAAAGCGGATGAGGATGAGGATGAGGATGAGGGTGATGATGATGATGATGATGATGAAGATGAATATGAAGATGAAGATGAAGATGAATATGATGATGATGATGATGATGATGATGATGATGATGATGATGATGATGATGATGATGATGATGACGAGGAGGAGGAGGAGGAGGAGGAGGAGGAGGAGGGGGAGGAGGGGAAGGAGGAGGAGGAGGCGGAGGAGGAGGAGAAGGAGGAAGAGGAAGAGGAAGAGGAAGAGGATGATGATGATGATGATGATGATGATGATGATGATGATGATGATGATGATGATGATGATGATGAGGAGGAGGAGGAGGAGGAGGAGGAGGATGATGATGAGAAGGAAGAGGAGAAGAAGGAGGAGCAGGAGGAGGAGGAAGAGGGGAGAACGCGACCGATGGAAACACAGCACGTGCAAGGTAGATCTGGAGTGCTGAGATCGTGGGAAAAAAAACGCCGGTGGCATACAAATCATGTCGCTGGAGATCTGGATTGGACGAGGGGTGGATAGAGGCTCCCGGGCGCGCTGCCAGTCGCCGCACTTTTTCCTCGGGGAGGTCTCCCGTGCGGCGCTGCCGCTGGTCCGCGGCGACGCGCTCGCGGAGCCTCCGCGGGGTGGGGGGGGAGGGATGGAGGGAGGGTCCTCCTCTTCCTACTCCTCCTCCTCCTCCTCC